TAACCAATTTGTGACAAATGATAGACATTCGTTGATACTATGTAGTATGAGAAGCAACATGCTATTGATTCATAACAATCATAATGTATCTTATGAAAAGAAAATGCCCAAATAAAAAAATGCCCAAAATAAAATCCCCATTTGGTGACTAGAATTTACCTTAATTGTTTTATTTTCCCCAAATGGGGATATGATTTGGGGATTGATTCAGGGAACCACAATTTGGGGCAAATGATAGACATTCATGCGTCCCTCTTCTCTACCATTTGCACTTGTGATAACTTCTCTGATGCATACATATGTCAGTGTGATCAAATAGACAAAAAAATAAACATGAACGAGTAAAAAATGAATGTTTCTCTTGAATTGATTAGTGAAGATCGGCAGAAATAGACATACACGAGGTATTATGAAGAAATCAAAGATCTTCAGTCATCTAACTAATAACGTTACAATAATCAGTAGATTCCATTACCTCTATGGATGAGAGGTCTAAGACAAAAAACTTTGAAAATTTAGCATCATTCGATTTCAGGAGATTTTTTCTTTTATCTCAGAGACACAACGGAAGTGTGAAACTTTCAGCGTTTATAGAGCAAATACTCAGCTACAATTTGGCTCAATTGAAATTAATAATCTATTTAATCAAAAGAGTCAGTCAGAGTTTTATAAAAAAAAGCACTTGTACATCTTCTATAAAACTTTTAAAATTCATTGACTCTTAGCTGTACAGGTACCCTCACCCAACCTTTGTCTAACAGTGAAAACTGCGATTCGATAGCTATCAGCGTTGCAAAGTTATTAAACAAACAGCCGAATATACTTTATTTTGAAATGCATAATAATTTCCACAACAAGATGAATTGTAAGTATTATTTACATTAATAGTTTTTCCTTTTCCATTCAGATCAGTCTCAAAAACAAGATAAAACGTAGTTTTCATACACACAAAAACACCATAATGAACTTAATTATTTTTATAAACTCGTCTTTCTTGGTTAAGTTAATCTCGACAACAAAATGAAATGTAAGTAACATTTATACATACGTATAGATATTAGTTCAAAATAAAATGTAACTATTATTTATATAAATCTTTTTTTCGCCATTCAGATCAATCGCAACAACGAAATCGAAAGTAAGTATTATTTTCTTATAAATGTTTCCTTTTGATTTAGGTTAACATGAAGTTGAAAATAAAATGTAAGTATTATTTACTTTAACAATTATCCTTTTCTGTTTAGATCCATTGTAACAAGAAATCAAAAAAAAGTATTATTTACTTATATAAATGTTTTTTTATTTTAAATAGTTCAATATGAAATTCAAAATAATATGTAAGTATTATTTTAAAAAAGTCTTCTTTTTTATTTAGACCAATCGCAACAACGGAATCAAAATTAAGCATTATTTTCTTATCGATGTTTCTTTTTGATTTAGGTTAATATCGAGTTGAAAATAAAATGTAAGCATTATTTACATTAATAATTATTTTTTCTGTTTAGATTTATTGCAATAGGAAATCAAAAGTAAGTATTATTTACTTACATATATATATATATATATTAATTTTATTTAGTTCAATATAAAATTCAAAATAATATGTAAGTATTATTTTAAAAAAATCTTCTTTTTAATTTGGACCAATCACAACAACGAAATCAAAAGTAAGCATGATATACTTAAATATATTTTTTTAAAATTTTATTTAGCTCAATATGAAATTCAAGATAATATGTAAGCATTATTTTAAAAAATCTTCTTTTTAATTTAGACCAATCGCAACAACAGAATCAAAAGTAAGTATTATTTTCTTATCTGTTTCTTTTTGATTTAGGTTAACATGAAGTTGAAAATAAAATATAAGTATTATTTGCATTAATAATTATCTTTTTCTGTTTAGATCCATTGCAACAAGAAATCAAAGGTAAGTATTATTTACTTACATAAATTTTTTTGTTTTGTTCTATTTAGTTCAATATGAAATTCAAAATAATATGTAAGTATTATTTTAAAAAAATCTTTTTTTATTTAGACTAATCGCAACAACGAAATCAAAAGTAAGTATCATTTTCTTATATATATTTCTTTTTGATTTAGGATAATATGGAGTTGAAAATAAAATGTAAGTACTATTTATATTAATTATTATCTTTTTGTATTTAGGTCCATTAGAACAAGGAAATAAGTAAGTATGTATTTATATATATATATATTTTTTGTTTTTCTTTATTTAGTATAATATGAAGTTCAAAATGATATGTAAGTATTATTTACATTCATAATTATCATTTTCTGTTTAGATCCATTGCAATAGGAAATCAAAAGTAAGTATTATTTACTTATATATATTTTTTTAATTTTATTTAGTTCAATATCAAAATTCAATATAATATGTAAGTATTATTTAAAAAAGACTTCTTTTTAAATTTAGATCAATCGCAACAACGGATTCAAAAGTAAGTATTATTTTCTTATATATGTTTCTTTTTTATTTAGGTTAATATGGAGTTCAAAACAAAATGTAAGTATTATTTATATTAATTGTTATCTGTTTCTATTTAGGTCTATTAGAAGAAGGAAATCCAAAGTGAGTATTTATTTATATGTATGTATTTGTTTTTTTATTTAGTACAATATCAAGTTCAAAATGATATGTAAGTATTATTTAAATAACTTTATGTTTTTTTATTTAGGTCCATCACGACAAACGCAATCATAAGTAACGCTGGGGACTAATTTTAAGGCACACCGATTCAACCAGTCAACCTTTTCCCTCGCATAACAACAAAGAACTTTAGGAAACCGCGATGTCACGGCTCACAACTGTACATGTTCTTGTAAGCAAAAAATAAATTCTAAGTGGTTCGAATGATACTCCACGCAAAAGTGTAGATTGCGAAATAGATTAAAAAAAATCTCATTTGGCAATCTAAACTTTTCCATGGGGTATCATTCGAACCACTTAGAATTTGTTTTTTTGCTTAGAAGAACATGTACAGTTGTGAGCCATGACACCGCTGTTTCCTAAAGTTCTTTGTTGTTATGCGAGGGGAAAGGGTAACAGGTTGATACGGTATGCCTCAAAATGAGTCTCAAGGACGGGTCTGTTTTATACACCCTTTTCGAAACCCTTGCATAGGTTTATGAGCATTTCCTAAACCCTTATATCGGTTTATGAGCATTTCATAAACCCTTACATGGGTTTATGAGCATTTTCTAACCCTTTATATGGGTTTATGAGTGTGCCCTAAACCCTTGCCTATACCCATACATGGGTTTATGAGCATTTCCTAAACCCTTATATGGGTTTATGAGCATTTTCTAAACCCTTACATGGGTTTATGAGCATTTCCTAAACCCTTATATGGGTTTATGAGTGTGTCCTAAACCCTTGCCTATACCCCAACATGGGTTTATGAGCATTTCCTAAACCCTTTGCTGAATCCCATCCGTACTTAGTGACCGTCATAAACCGTTTTTTAGGGTTTATGCAAGGGTTTATTGATTTCCTAAACCCGTTCATATACCCTTAGTAAGGGTATATTAAAGGGTTTATGATTTTCCTAAACCCTTAAAAGGGTTGTTGAAAGTGTAACGTATAATAAACCCTTAAAGGGTTTAGGAACTTTCTAAACCCTTTGAAAGGGTATATGAAAGGGTTTAGGAATTTCCTAAACCCTTTCCTAAACCCTTAAAAAGCGTTTAGGAGAATTTTACATACGGTAAAAAGGGTTTATTATACGTTACACTTTCATCAACCCTTTTTGGGTTTAGTATTCTACGGATTTTTTTTACAGTGTAGGATTGGGGGCAATTGTCTCTGGAAAGCAAGTGTGCCGGGTATAAGTGCCGCGGAAGCATCTTTCATGGAATTATTCTGAATATTCATATCACAGAAAAAAAATTAGAATCACACGAATAATTTTGATCAACTCAAGCAGAATTATGTTTCAAGCATTTCTTTTCCTTTTTTATGGAAATATTATTTTCAATATTAAACATCGTATTAATCGGTTATATTTTTTAATGGATTTCATGCCAAAGTGATTATATTTCTTTACACTTATTAATAATCTAGAAAGAGAAAAGAAAATTTGAGGTTACTTATTTTTAGCTTTCAGTTTCACTGTCGTTGGGTAATATATATAAATGTTTTTCACTTTCAATGTTATTCTCTAGTTTCTTCTACCAAAATATTTCTACTGATTTAAAAATCATCACTATTGTTTTTTAGGAAAATGTTCTACCATACGATTGCTATCCTACCAATTCTCTGTTATATCCTGCCAGTGACAAATGGCCAAGAAGCTTGTTCCAGTAACTTGTGTAGTGGCGCAGATAAACAGAAATGTTGTTCTGCTGTGCTTGTGGGATCGGAATTTAAAGTTCATTGTTGTCCAGAAGGAAAAGTGTGTTGTGGAGACAATTGTTGCGATGTTTGTTGCGACGGTTCCATCTGTGGTGCACCTGGTTCAATTTGTTGTGGCGGTGGACGAATTTGTCCAGCAGGTGCAGGTTGTTGTGGAGATGGTTGTTGTGCAAGAAAATGCTGTGGCGGTAGAAGATGTATAAACTGGGGAACTGCATGTAAAGAGTAAGTTGAAAGGTTTGAGAAAAGCTAGTGATAAGAAACTTCGTAGCACTAGAATGTAACTTATCAAATTACCGCTGATCCATGAATCCATGAATGATGCTCCCCGGACAATTGCTCCCGCGACAATTGCTCCCCGGACAATTGCTCTCCAGCGACAATTGCTCCCGCGACATTTGCTCTCGTGACATTTGCTCCCCAAGGACAGTTGCTCCCCAAGGACAATTGCTTCCCGGACACTTGCTCTCCTATGTCAATTGCTCCCTGGATATTTGCTC